ATTTTCTCCCTCCATTACAGAAACTGATTAAATTTAGTCCCTATGAATCCGTTTAAACGACGTACTTGTAAAAAGAAGAGTAAACTGTATATGTAGTCACTGAACTATAAAATAAATTCTATTTTGACCATCAAACAAAAAAAATGTCATAAAGTCACTAACGTGGTGTATTGAAACTCAATGCTGTTCTTGTATATTTTTTCGTTTCTGGAAACTGCAGTTACAGACATTCAATGTACAGTTCATGTGTTGAATCTACAATACAAATATATGACATCTAATCTGGGGCACCCAGTCCATGGAACTCTCTGGTTTTTCTATGTACGTACAAACAATTGCAACAAACTGAATCAAACACGACCATCCCCATTAGTCACTCAACAATGGCACTCTCTGGCCGGCGGCAACAACCGTGAACCAACGGAACCGATTTTATTATTCATTGTCTGCACTATTTCTGCAGCAGAAGGCCTAACGGTAGGTGATTTTCGAAGACAGAGTTCAACGATTAAGAGCATAGCTTTTGCTTCTTCCAAGTCGAACTCACCACCCAGCTTTGGATCCACCATCTCCGCCGCCCCACCACCACCCTCAACAACCTCCCTCAGGTTCAGTGCCACCATCGTCGTCAACAATTGTCCCCTTTCGGGACAAAAGGCTTCCATCCCAGTCACAAGCTCCAAAATAATAACACCCAGACTATAAACATCGTTCTCCTTAGAAGCAATACCGGTCCACAAATAACGAGGATCGGTGTACCCCGGCGAGCCGACCATTATCTGATTAGTCTTCTGCGGCACCACCGTCGACGAAAATCCCATCTTCGCCGACCCGAAATCGCAGAGCTTGCAGTTGAACTGCTCGTCTAACAAGATGTTGGACTCTTTGATATCGCCATGAACTATCTGGAGACTGCATTTGTCGTGCAAGTACTCGATTGCTTCGGCAAGTTGAAAAGCTATGCTCATACGGGTCTTCCATGGAAGCAATTCCCTTCCGTTTCCATGGAGTTTCTCTTGTAAATTTCCATTCGGAACGTATTCTAACACCGTCGCGCCTTCCTCTGTAAAATAAAATGAACAGATATTATAAAAAAATAGTAAATCTTTCTTTAGCGATTGTTGAAGAGTTAAAGTAACTACCTTGATCATCGCAGTAGCCAAGGAATTTAACGATGTTGTCATGTCGGATTCGGGTCAGAATATCCAGTTCTTGTTTGAACACTTGATTTAACCGATCATTTCTGACATGGATCTTGACTGCTCCCAGGGTGGAATCCGACAAGTTAGCCAAGTAGACATTGCTGAACCCTCCTTGTCCGATCAAACGCGAGAAATACTTGGTCGAATCTTTTAATTTCGTCCCATTTAAACCTCTTAACACACCCTTTACCTTCTTCGACGCTTAAATCTCTTCCCTTTTCTTCATCGGCCCCGCCGCTCGCCACCGTGGGTTTACGGCGTTTGAGGAATTTCAATAAGAACCCAATTGCCAACAGCAACGAAAGAAGCGATACAAGAGAAACAGTAACGAGGATGACGAGTTTGGGATGGAACGACGATAGGGTTGTTCTTTAAGAAGATGTCGTCGGCGGATAGAAAACGGCGGGGGAAGCGACGCGGAAAGTGAGTGGAGGAGAAGGAATGAGTATTATTATTGGTAATAATAAGGAAAAAATTGTGATGGGATGTTCCAAGAACATCAGCACCAGCAGACATACTTTCAAACATCAATAACCCAACCATTTTTAACCTTTAGATTTGTCGGTTGTGAACCCCGTGGACATGGGGACGAACATAATCTGACAAAAACTCGATCTAAATGTGCAGATTTCATTTCAGAAAAAATAGAAACTGGAAGCCTCCTAGAAAAGCCATTGAGGTTTTCCTCTTTCCGTCAGATTGAATCAAATTATTTATCATGAAGTTAATTTCGACCGATTCTGATATTTAATGTCAAATTATAAAATGATATTTTATTTTGAAGATTAAGTGAAATATTATGACTGGATTTTCAACTCACTTGGTTTTTTTTTTAATGAATCTGAATTTTGTATATGTTTTATCTGAGAATAGTCCAAATTTCACAAATACAACTTGATACCATTTTTAGTGTTTGGTAAACACCATTTTGAAGAAGTTTATTGTGCAAAATAAACTAAAAATGAAAACGCTATAAAATCCAGCGATTTAGAAGAACTTATTGCAAAATAAGATGTTAAATGACATATTTGACATTATTTTTTTCCATAATTACATCCTTACCATAAAACCTAATATAATGAAATAGTCTTCATCCCAATATATTTAAGCTGAAATTTTATTTTATTATTCTATTTTTTAGTTGTAGATTCTCAAATATATTTTAATTAAAAAAATATAGCAAAACATGAAAGTAAAAAAATGTAGTGTTGATATTTTATACAAAGTTTATCGTATGTATAAATCTCACAAGGTTAATATTTATAAATATTAAATTTAAAAATATATATTCATTTTTTTAAAAATATTCACTAATTTTCTTAAGGAATTTTTAATTCCTAGTCAAAAATATTTTATCCGAATAATTTCACCTCGATAAAGACTAAAATATTATAAAACATATATGTACTTAACAACTAAATGTATCATACCCTTATTTGTTATTTTGCCTATATCAACTATCACCTAAATTTTACCAAACACTTCTATAAAAACATTTAATCAAATCAGTTGGTCAAACCAACTACTGGAATCAACTACTAGTTATCAATTGTTTGCCAAACACCCTCGTTTTTTTTAAAGTTCGAGGAGTAAGTTGGTAGTTGATCTAAAATTTACGATCAAATTAATATTTTTTTCTAAATTTGAGGGTTCAAGTTAAAAATAATAATTTTTTACTAACATATCACTTCAACAAACTAACATCATTTAAGTCTTATATATCAATAACCTTGTATATCAATCATAACATTATAAAAATAAAACTTATATATCAATGACCAAAACATTATAAATCATAATATAGTTCACCAAAATATTATTTTTTAAACATTTAATGATAAAAATAAAACTTGTGAAAAAAATTGACCATTTTTATAGTTTACCCTAAATATTACTATCATATCTACCAATCATATATTGACATATAATTCACGTGCGAATTCTTTGTTCTCTTCTGACACGGTCGCGAATATTACGGTGGCCCACTATTATTAAAATTATTATTATATAATTCTTTCAATTTAATTTATTATAATTATATTATTAAAATTCGAACCACTAAATTTTCTCAAGAAACATTCAGTTGGGAAATGGTCAATTTTAAATCATTTTGCACGCACTATTCATCAATTTGTCAATTGTCATGTCATACTTTCATAATTATGACAGTGGCCGCACGTTCGCACGGATTCTCTTATTATTATTATTATTATTATTATTATTATTATAGACTCCTCATAATAAATAAATATCAATATAATCATCAATTAATAAAATAAAAGAGTATTAAATCAATAATTCAAAAATGATATTGTGAATATAAAAAAACAAATTAAATGGTTAGTCTTATAATAAATTTTTATAACATATAATTTAACGTAATATATTCCAAAATGAATGATAATTATATAAAAATAATTGAGAATAAAGATTGTTATGATTCCTAATTGGGGGGGTTTGTAGTTGGATTACGACCGTATACTTAACAAAGCGACTCCGTAATAGCAACGAAGAGCATCCTTCACCAACCAAATCGCTTGGAGGAGATATTAGACCAATTCACTAATCAATTACATAAATAGTATTCGGTTAATTGTTCATAAATCGTTTTGTATAATGTTTGTTTATGTTCTGAATAAATGTGTAAAAAAATTACATTCATTTAATAAACGAACAAACACGAATAGAGGTGTGTTCGGTTCGTTTATATTCATAAACAAGTTTGTTTATCTATTCGTTCATTTATGTTCATGATCAAACTTGTTTATCTGATTCTCTTTTTCTTTCTTTTTTTACATTTTAAATATTAATAAAGGTTTGAACTAAATTTAACAAATGATAAAAGTTGAAATTTAAACTATGAATTTTAAAGAGTTTAAGACAAGTTGCATAATTTTATCATTTTTATTTAGTTTGAAACGAAAGGGTAAAACTAAAAATTGAACATATAAAGGAACGATAGACAATAAAAGAACATGTTCATGAAAGTTAAATGAACACGTTCGTAAACATATAAGCGAACTCGTTCACGAGCATTAAAAGAACATGTTTACGAACAATAGATAAACGAACACGAACACTTTCAAAATAAAATAAACGAACACAAACACTATATTAAAAATTTAAGCAAACACGAACCGGACACCTTAAAAAATAAACAAACAAACACAAACATAACTTTGTTCGTTCAAGCTCGGTCAGTACACCCCTAGTATTTATAATATATTTACATTTATATATTTTTTATTTTAGTTTTTAGTTTTGAAATAGATATCGAGAACTTGTCGTAGTACAGGATAGCTCATATAATCCTATTGAGACTTGAGAGTCATGAATAAATCTACGAAAAGAAATCGAAGAGTTTGTGCTTGATGATATCGGTGGAGTCACATTATAAACTATAGTATAAGACTTTTGGGATTTTTATTTATTTATAAATTTTATATAAAATTTAAATTTAATACATCATTTTAGAAGAATATTGACACTATTTTTTAAATTTGCAATCTATTAGTTTACTCCGTATCTCGAGTGAAGTCAAAAGATTATTAAGCTTAAAGTTTGTTTATGTTGAGTTAAAAAATAATCAACATTTAAAAACTCTAAAATTGAATCGAATTAAACTAAACTGAATAGAATTTTCAGTTTAATTCCGATTTTATAAAACCGATATAAAAAAATTCGAACCGAACCGAATACTACTCGACTCTAATTACTCGTGCTGAGATAATAAAACTAACAAATTTTACATGCAAAATTACATTTGAGAACAATATGCACAAGATTAGAATAAACAAGCATTCAAAACATTTCATTTATTTCATTTCAGTTCAAACCGTCAAAAGAATTTATACGCATTGCTTGTTCCCCACTCAACTTTACATTTCTCTTCAGCTTGGTTAAGAGAGAAGAAAGATGGGAAAGAAGAGAGTAATTTCATATGGATGTAATACTGCCTACAAAAATCAATTATAAAAAATCGATACCTCATCTAAAGACAAGCAATTAGGGATACTCTAATCCAACTCCTGCTTGTTCTTAGTTCTTTTCATCTTCGCCTTAAACCTCGATTTCGTCACGAGCGACTGTATTGTGTTTACGAAGTTCCCGACAGCCATCACAACCAGAAGTATCCCACAACAAATCACCTACAAAAAACTCCGTTTTCTATCACTAATTGTACAAAAACCGTACAAGATTTTTTTCGACATATATGGTTGAAGAGAGACACCATGAGAAAACCACCTACCTGCCATTTCGAAACAACCCCAGCAAATGCAGACCTGAGAAGCAGCAGCCCAACGTATGCCTCGAAACCCTATAGTCACATTCACGATAACTGAAAGTTTTAGACCCTTTAAGTGGTAAAAAAACTTCGTTCGATCTACATATTCTTGGCAATTAGACAAAAGTTTGCTTGCGTTACCTGCATAAGGAAAAGTACAGGGCATAAGATCCATAGTTGGCCATCTACACCAGATGCTTCTCCCCAGACAACATCCATTCTATTAGCCTGTAACCGACAATACTCGAATAGAAGTTAGGATTGATTCTCTATGATTTGAAGGATCCCAAATGATGGCATAATAGCTACTGCTCTTGGCAGATAAAATATGGATAAGATAACACCTTTCCAAGAGCAATACGAGTATAAAGCCTCTGACGCTGATATCTATTTTGAAGAAGCATGACAACTCCTTGCATCATAGCCCATTGAAGGAAAAGTTCTACACCTCTCTGGCATAGGATTTAACAGTTTGTTAATGAACACCAACTCAATAAGGCATAATGATTAATTAGTGCACAATGGTACAACAGTGACCTGCTTTTGAGCACAATTAGGCTGTCCTTCAATCTCCCAAGTGATACTAATTAGGGCCATAACAATAGCACAATAGTGATGGTGTATCCACCTGCAAAAGTATTATTTGGTCATCAATTAACTTGCAAGACTAACCAAGAAAATACAACTCATACACACAAACTACAGTCGAACATCAACAACGAGAAAATAGAAGTTCTTGATGATTAACTATAAGGAGTATCAAAAAACATCAAAACATACTAATCAAAAAGGAGATTCCAAGAGGTTCTAGGTAGATCATAGCTGTTTCCAGCTTGTTATGTGGCTTTGAAAGTTTTCAGATAAACCAATATTTGATTACAATCAGCATAGGCATAACATACAGATAAACCATCTACAACATAAGAAAATGGTTATAGGTTGGAACTGGTTCACAAATTCAGTTGTGATGATGGGGTAACCAAAAGAGAATTTAACATAGACGGACACCATTTTCTTTCTCTGTCCTCAGAGAAACAAGGAGGATTGATTCCACCCTACAAAACTTAAAGAAACAGCATTTTCACATTATAATACTGATAATGGACCCCCATCTGACTCTAACTCTAACTCTCCTTACATGTTTGCTTTCAGGAAACAAAACAACAGAGTAAATATGTTATTCACATTATAATACTGATAATCGACCATGTTACATGTTTGCTTTCAGGAAAAAAAACAACAAAGTAAACATGTTACGTGTTGGCTTTCAGGAAACATTGGGAAAGAAAAGGATGCACTTACCATGGACGGATATCACTTCCATTTATTCGCAATATGTTCTCTCGCATAGCCAAACCAGTGTAAAGGAACAACAACCATGCCTGCAAACAACTTATCATTCGCTCGGTATTAATTCACAGAAAAAGAGCTCATCATTAAATCGGCAACAATCGAATAAAATCCTAACAAAACCCCCCAACGAATAACCAGAATAATACCTCGTACAATTGAACTGGAAATGCAGGCAAGCATCCATCCAAATCCATGATCTTAAAACAAGCAAAGTTAACGGAAAAAAGAAACAGAAGGGCAGTCCTATCCTGTTGAAGGGAGACAGTACTTAGTAATGAATACTTAAAATTTCCAAATTTCCCAATTTCTTTCCAAGAAAAATGCATAAATAAATCACGAATTCAATCGAAATATCGAATTATACAATAGGCAGGGAAAACTGAAATGCAAATATGTATATTGGGATGAATTTCTATCATGCAATTGTAAAATTAAAGAATATATTCATATGAAAAGTAAATAAAAAATAAAAAATCAAAGAATAAAATAAAAAAGAGTTAAAAGAACAGTGATGCTGACTCTGTAGCTGTTATATTCCTCCTTAACTTTCAACTGGACTTCTTTACGAGATGCTCGCACATTGATTGGTCCCAGAAACTCCTGAGAAATCTCCCTGTCGTCACAAATTACAAATTAATTAATCACATCTCTAATTACATGATAATTAAATCACTTAAAAAATACAAACAGATAGTATACCCTGATATTTGGGAGGAAGAATGCAGCGGCGTCTCCATCGGCCATAATGCAGGTGCTCTCTGTAAATCCTCTTCGAACTGCCTTTTTTAGATCCAAATTTCAGAAACAATCCAGATTTGATCTAAATAAAGACATAATGGAAAAAAAGTGAAACATGCAAGGTTAAAGAGTTTCTGCCTTCCTGGCGAGATTGCGATCCATAAACTTTTGAGAGACAAGCGAGCTGATCAATGAACGAACGCGGCGAATGGAAGATTCGATGGAAATGGCATTTTGGCGGAGCGATTGCTCCTCGTTCGAAATCTTCCATAAAAGCGAAGACCCAGATTCTTGTAACTCTCTGGCTTGCTTCATCAGCCTCCCCACTTCTTCTGCAATCTATCACCGGCACCGGCTCCGGCGCCAATTCATCCACACTCTCCATTTTATCGATTTTTTTCGAGTAAAATCAAGCACTCTACACTTTGGGTGATTTAGTTTTCTTTGATGTGTGTATATATATATAGTATCGTGTAAGGTCAAAGGTTGCATTTGAACGAAGGAGAGGGTGGGCTTTCGTTTTTTATTTTGAAACGTAACTTTCTGGGCAAGCCGAAGGGATCGGAACAAATACATCTTCGCTTTGTAATGTGTACTTGCATGAATAAAATGAAAAGATATAGATACCAAAATCATATATAATTTTTTTGTCTAATTACGAGTTTCATCACTTTACTTTACAAAGTTAATAAATTAGTCCCTTTAACTTATTAGAATTTTATCTTCATACTTTATGGAGGGGAAAAATCATTTATTAGTAAACATATTGATTTTATTGTTGATATTTTAGTAATTTATAATACATATTGAATTGTTTATTTCTACTAAGTCTAAGCATAGATGGTTAAACTATTGTTTTTTAGCGATTTAATTGTAAAATTTTATAGTGTTATTCAATTAAATAACTTTCCAATTTCTTACAATATAATAACTAAATTTTCAAAAATTAAAGTAAATGGTTAACTCATTACTTTATATAGTAAATTTGATTTAATAATTATATATAGAGATAAATGTAATTTGAATATTATATTTTTTATATTTATGAATTTTGAACATATTAGTAATTTAAATTATATATACAGGAAGAGATTCACCTACATTAGTGTATAATTTAAGTAGTTTTACATACTTTTATATAAATTATATTAAATAAAAATGTTAATATGAATCTATATGTTAATTTATAGTTTTAATTTTGGTGTTCTATTTCTTTTTTATTAATTTGGGATAAATATAAGACAATATTTGTTTAAAGAAAACTCTCAACCATTTGATATTGGACGCTTATACCCTGATATTCCCAGCACTCGAACCCGAAACATTGAGAAATAACAAAAAATTATTTACTACTGAAATCACTTGATTCTTGCAAATTTCAATTAAATCATAATATGATATTACTAAATCTAAGTACGAGATTAATCACCAATTGATTAGGAACAAACCTAGCCGCAATTTCCCCCCAAATGTATGCCCAACTAAATAACTTGTTATCCACACGGGGTAGGGTAGGTAGCCGGACCGGACCCTAAACTCTTAACCACGCGACGACACCCGGGGCCGGATCCTTCCTTGATGTCTACTAACCTAACTCTTAGATTTTGGTTTAGCCGAGTTATCCATTGTTTCGACCGGTTTAAATAAAATTTTCAATTAAATCGAATCTTTCATCATAATGCTCGGCTGGTTTAGATGAATTATGGATTATTCAGATTTTTCAAACGAATTATCATCATATTCAAATATTTTGTCATTATAATTAATGATTTTTTTAATCTGAATTAAGAGTAAACTGCCATTAGCTTTGATAGTTTAATAATCTAAATGCTAAATAAACTATGGTATTTAAATTAATTATTTCGATAAAATGTTCTGATCTCTGATGTATTTTTCTTAATAAAGAAAGCACTGCGCCGTACAACTCCTTGAAACCTAGAGCGCCCCTAATGGCCTAATCACGGGGAAAAGGAAAGGTAATTTATGTGTTTAGTACTTAATCTATTGTTTTGATCCGTTTTAATATTAAATTTTAATTTTTCAGAATCATATCCAAAGTTCAGTTTTTGTTTATTTAGTACCCGTAGTTAAAAATTTTAGTTTTTATTTTATTTTAGTATACTATTAAAAATTTAGCGTTAAGTTTTGAAAGAATTAAATTTTAGGTACTAAACAATCAAAACTGATAGTTTAGGTACTAAAGCTTAAATTTTAACGACAATACTAAAT